GCTTCAGGGCCTGATTCCATTGCTGGATCCAGCCTTCCTCCTCGGCTGCATCTCCTGCCTCGGCTGCACCTCCTGCCTCAGCTGCATCTCCTGCCTCAGCTGCATCTCCTGCCTCAGCTGCATCTCCTGCCTCAGCTGCATCTCCTGCCTCAGCTGCATCTCCTGCCTCAGCTGCATCTCCTGCCTCAGCTGCATCTCCTGCCTCAGCTGCATCTCCTGCCTCAGCTGCATCTCCTGCCTCAGCTGCATCTCCTGCCTCAGCTGCATCTCCTGCCTCAGCTGCATCTCCTGCCTCAGCTGCATCTCCTGCCTCAGCTGCATCTCCTGCCTCAGCTGCATCTCCTGCCTCAGCTGCATCTCCTGCCTCAGCTGCATCTCCTGCCTCAGCTGCATCTCCTGCCTCAGCTGCATCTCCTGCCTCAGCTGCATCTCCTGCCTCAGCTGCATCTCCTGCCTCAGCTGCATCTCCTGCCTCAGCTGCATCTCCTGCCTCAGCTGCATCTCCTGCCTCAGCTGCATCTCCTGCCTCAGCTGCATCTCCTGCCTCAGCTGCATCTCCTGCCTCAGCTGCATCTCCTGCCTCAGCTGCATCTCCTGCCTCAGCTGCATCTCCTGCCTCAGCTGCATCTCCTGCCTCAGCTGCATCTCCTGCCTCAGCTGCATCTCCTGCCTCAGCTGCATCTCCTGCCTCAGCTGCATCTCCTGCCTCAGCTGCATCTCCTGCCTCAGCTGCATCTCCTGCCTCAGCTGCATCTCCTGCCTCAGCTGCATCTCCTGCCTCAGCTGCATCTCCTGCCTCAGCTGCATCTCCTGCCTCAGCTGCATCTCCTGCCTCAGCTGCATCTCCTGCCTCAGCTGCATCTCCTGCCTCAGCTGCATCTCCTGCCTCAGCTGCATCTCCTGCCTCAGCTGCATCTCCTGCCTCAGCTGCATCTCCTGCCTCAGCTGCATCTCCTGCCTCGGCTGCATCTCCTGCCTCAGCTGCACCTCCTGCCTCAGCTGCATCTTCTGCCTCGGCTGCATCTCCTGCCTCAGCTGCAGCTCCTACCTCACCTGCAGCTAATTCTTCACCTGGAGCTTCTAACCTATCTTCAGCTTCTGCCTCACCTTCAGCTCCTGCTCTCCCTGCAGCTTCTTGCTCACCTGCAATTGCTGCCATATCTGCAGCTCCTGCCTCGCCTGCAGCTCCTGCCAGATCTACAGTCTCCTCCTTACCGGCAGCTCCTGCCGCATCTGGACTTCCTGCCTCGCCTAGAGCTCCTGCCTCACCTGTATCTCCAGACACAGCTACAGCTTCTTTTGCACCTGGAGCTTCTACTGAGGCCACACCTGCAGCTCCTGACACTGCAGCAGCTCCTTCCTCACCTGCGGCCCCTGCCTCATCTGCAGATCCTGCCTCACCTGGAACTCCCACCACATCTTCAGGTCCTTCCTCACCTGCAGCTCCTGCCACATCTGCAGCTCCCTCCTCACGGGGGGCTCCTGCTTCATCTGCAGCTCCAACCCACTGTGCGGCTCCTGCCCCATCAGCGGGGCCAGCCACCGCTTGCCTTTGGGGCTGTGCAGGGAAATTGGGTGCATCCTGTGACTCAGAGTCAAAGACCTGAGGGAGGAAGATCACAGTCCAGTCCTCTTGCTTGCCTGGTATGTGTCGGGGAATCAGATTTCGGTTTAAATTGTCAGCAAACTCAACCAAGGCGACCCTGCACCCAAGCTCCCTTCTGAAGACATTGCCCAGCACTCGGTACCTGCCCAGGGGCCACAGGGCATCCTGCAGGGCCTCCTGGAAGTCCTCCTCCTCGCAGTCGTCAGGGATGCCCAGGATGAGCACAGCGCGCTTTGAGTTCACGCCCATCCAGCCGCACCAGTCCCGCAGCATCGTCAGCGCCATCTCCCAGACGTGGGGGCGGGGGGGAGGAGGGGGGGAGTAGACGCGATAGGAAAGAGGTGCGCAGACTGTCGCAGTCTCTGCTGGGGCCGCCTGGGAATGCAAAAGGGGCGGGGGAGAGGAACGTTGATGCCACACAGCCCACCCCACCTCCTCCCAGGACAGTTCGCGCCCCCACCCCCTACTGCCGCATAATCCCCCACTGCACCCCTCACCTCCGCAACGAGAAGGACCCCTTTGGTCTGGGCTTAAACCCCTGATCCGGTCCTAGCAACTGAAGCCCCTTCTTCCATCATCTGCAAACCCCCAGCCAGGAGCCCTATCTATCCTTCCATCATCTGCAAAGCCCGCAGCCAGGAGTGCTCCCACCCTCTCTTGTGTAGAGCGGGGCTAGAGCTCCTGCGCTTCCTACTCTGACACAGGCAACCTGTAAACCCGCTGCCGCAGCCCCCGCAACCGACCTGTAAACCCCGCTGCCG